AATTATAGTAACAGAAACGACGCCTATCACCATTTCAGAAACCAATATCAAAACACGTACCACAACAGGTAACCCAAGTATCTGAAACAGACAACCCCTCAGATCCTCCTAGGATTGGCAAACCTAAGAAAATTTCAAAATAAAATGCAATATAATCGATTATAAAAAGTAAGTTATTGAAATTTTACTATTTTAAATTTCAACAGATCTGACCACTGTATATATTTTTTCAGTAGATGATCAATTTTTATCCGTTTTTGTCACTGCGGATGCCAACCAAAACTTCAAATTGCAGCAATCATAACAAAAATGAGATATCTACATGATGAGGATACATCATCAGAATAAACAATTGAAACAATTGAAACAATTGAAACTATTAGGACCGTAGGACAGAATTAGGCTGCACAATTTTATTTTATTTTTAAATTTAAGGTCTTGATTTAGTTTTGAGTTATGTACAAAAATCAAATACATAAAATACATTTTTCTTTTGTCACCATAACAATCACAGCAGTTCGAAATGAAATCAAAAGAGTTTCAGGATGAAAAAAAACTTCGAACCCTGGTGCGTGTCCTAATACTAAGAACTATCTCAAAAATTACTACCATGATTCACAACTGTTTAGTTGGTAAACAACAAATGGTTGATCAAAATTGAGTATAGCTAATGCTGTGCAAGTAGCACAGAACGTTTTGATCGCATTCTTTAAAATTATCATCGACGACACTATTTTCAATTTGGTTTTGTTTGTGATTTTTATAGAATAACTAGACAAATGAGCAGAAAAATTGTGAATTAGGCATAACTGACTGAAACTGTTATCACAAACTGAGTAACAATAAAAATGGAAAAAAATCTATGAGTTCAGGTTCTCTTAGAATTTTTTTTGGTAATGATGTGCTAAAATAGCAGTGCCAGTTTTCTTGTCAGAGAAATCATATTTCCAACGACTAATGCCCAGTTTTCAATTAACAAATATTTCTCGACCGCCTTACTTATTTGAAACTAGACTGAAAATTCGGAAATTGAAGCCGCTGTTATTTACCTTTACGACTGTTTTTTTTTGAAAGTTTTAAAATAATTCGAAAAAAACTAAATAGATGATATCACCAATTAAAAATGGACAAAATTTATCTAACAAATATTTCAATTAACAAATGTTTCTCGACCGCCTTACTTATTTGAAACTAGACTGAAAATTCGGAAATTGAAGCCGCTGTTATTTACCTTTACGACTGTTTTTTTTTGAAAGTTTTAAAATAATTCGAAAAAAACTAAATAGATGATATCACCAATTAAAAATGGACAAAATTTATCTAACAGAAATTAAAAAAAGTCAAAAATTTTGCTCCAAACCAAGATTGACACAATAGATTCAAATCTCAACCACCACGATATCATGATCGAAACCAAACGCAAGCCTTATAGAAACCAACAACCTGATAAAAAAATTACTCATACTCGAGAAATTTTTAGAAAATGCTTTATTTTAAGAACGAACTCAAAAAAATGGTTAAACACGCAAAAGTAGAAACAATCTTGAAATCTCTAAGACAAAATTGACAACTATAGGTATTATAGCAGAATAATTAGAATTGTTCACAATGGCCACGTAGAGTTAAGTTAGATCAGACCAAAAAAATAACAGAAAAAAAAACAGAAATGACGCCTATCAACAATTCAGAAATCAATATCAGAACACAAACCACAACCGGTAACTCAAGTATCTGAAACAGATAATTCTCCAGATCCTTTCGGGATTGGCACACCTAATAAATTTTCACAAAGTCAAAATGAAATACATCATGACAGTTGAAGCGGTGTTGAGAAAGAAAAAGCAGGAGCCTTAATGACTAGCCTGATAATTGACATTTATTTTGAACCATCAGTTTAAAGCATAATTTAGGAAAAATCAACACAGAAATTCAATGCAAAAACTACTTCTCTACTCAAATGAAAAGTTTCCCTTTAATTTAAAAGACCTCTTGCTCGCTCGCTTTACTAAAACCGGTGTTTCTCAACACCGATAATTTTTTAAACAATTTCCAAAAATTTTTTGGCGTCACCACTCAAAGTGTTTTAATATAATATATTACTCAACCCATTCCGATGAGTATTTGTGGGACATAGTTTTGTGAGGAAGAAAAACTTTAACTGCTCGAAGATAAGAGTTCCTCCCCGATTTCAGTGGTCGGAAAAAGTACTCTTATGATTATCATTTTGATTTGTTCCAGGGGTAGATCCCACAGGTTTTCTCGAAGAGACAGTTTACTGGCAGGCAACTTGAAAAAAAACGACAGGAAAATTTCTACCATAAAATTGCGTTTTGGCGCGCGCTACTTCCCGAGATTAATAAATTTCGATTTTTCGGAGGGCTTCCAGAAAATGATAAAGACCCGTTTCTGGCCAAATTTTTTGCGCCGCGGACAAAGTTTTGAAAAAATATATCAAAAAAGCCGTTTGTGGACACTTTTTGAATTTTTAATCATTATGATATCTGCAAAATGTTTGTAAAATGTAATTCGTAAAGTTCTCAGCCAAGCGTTTTCAAGAGTATAACTAGCTGTAGTTGACACAAGATGATGGTTACTTGTGTCTTAAATGGTCTCTTTGTTGTTCACAGAAGTCAAAAATATTTTGCTGCAAATCATGGCGTTTTGCGAGAATTAACGTGAGACAATTTCATTTTCCTGAATATCCTCGGGGGAGGGAGGTCTTATTCAAATTCGAAGGGGAAGGAGTTGAGCCCAGTTTTTTCTGTTAATTGGACAGATAGCACCTTTGAACGGATAGCACATTTTTGTCCTGGATTGCATCGCCCGGTAAACTGAAAACTTACTGCGCAAACAGAGTTGGTGAACTACTTACTTCATGCAAAGCCGAACAATGGAAACACAACCCTGGTAAGCACGGTAAGCACAGCCCTGCAGACAGCAGTACGCGGGGGGTTAAACTTAAAGACGTATCAGTGCTCTGGTCGGATACACCATAATTTTTACACAACAATGAGCCTACTTGGGGGATCAACGAAACAATCAAGCAAAATAATGCCTCAACAGTTAGCCCCCCAACTACACCACTGATCGATTCTTCCCGGTTTTGAAAACGGTTTCAATTAGTTGGGGTCACCACTCGGGTAATAATTTTCTTCGATGCCTTGAGGGGAACAGGAATTGTTCAGCTACTTTGGAAGAGCTAGAAAAAGCCAAGCTCTTCCTTTATCAACAATCCCAGCGAGACACTTTTGTTGAAACCTACAATCAACTTCTCACCTTGTTGACAGCAAAGACAAACTACAACAGTTCTCACCTTTTCTCGACAACGGTATTATTCGCGCGCGAGGAGAGTTACGAAACTCAACTTTACCGGACGCAACAAAGCATCCAATTATTTTAAAGGCAAAGGAACCAATTGTGCGCATGATGATCGAGAGCGCTCACTGAGTACTTCTCAACTACCTGCAACAAAGATTTGTCGTCATCGGGCTCCAAAAAACACTCAGACAGACAAGATATAACTGCTTACTCTGCAGAAGGTTCCAAGGCAGATGATAAATTTAACAATTGGCGAATTGCCGCCAACTAGTTTCGACTATACATCTGATGATCCATTTTTGCTCAAAAAAACAGGTATTGATTACATAGGTTCATTCTACATCGCAACAAAGGATACAACTAAAAAAGCTTTATTTGCCTCTTCACATGCCTCTCTACTCACGCAGTTTACCTGGAATCGACAGAGAACCTTAATTCGAACAACTGCATAACGGCTATTGACGCTTTATTGTTAGGAGATGCACACCTAAGCTTTTATTCTCTGACAACATACTTACTTCGTCGGCACCCGTAACCATCTAAGCTACGGCAGCAGCCTTCATCGAAGCATCTATCAGTAAATTTCCAACCACTCCTGATAACGAGCAAAAAATAGACTTGACAGCTTCTGGGGGCTTCTTTTTAAAGAGTACACTCCGACTTTCATCAAAAGGACTTAATAAACGCAACCCGAGGAGCCTCTCGAAAAAGATGACCTCGTGTGGATAATTGAGGACTTTACATCACGAGGCATCTGGCACTGGGTCGTGTGCTAGAGCTTTTTACCGGCTCAGATGGCATCGCGCGCTCGTATCTCCAAAAAAGGAAGTTTAAGATTACTTTAAATGTACTGCAACAAAAAAATTGGGCTCAATACGTTTCCCTTCGGTTCTGAATAAGACCTCCCTCCCCGAGGATATTCATGACATGAATTTTCCTCACCTTATTTCTCGCAAAACTCGGTGAGGTAAAATCTTTTAAGAATGCCATGATTTAAGAATGCCATGACTTCTGTGAACAACAACGAGATATTTGAACATAAACAAACATCATCTTGTCTTAAATAAACTGCTAAAAAATTTCGTTCATATATTTTTGTGGCCGAAACAAATCGATTAAATTATAATCCACTAAAAATCCATTTTCATGATTGGATGGGTCATTGGGTCATTTGAAATTGAGCTCGCGCTGACACATTTCACACACAAACACACACTCTTTCTCATACACGTATAGACAAAGTAGATATTTATAATGGTGTATATATGGTTTGAGGCACTGGATCCGATCGAAGAGAGTAGTAAGTTCCTTTGGTTGTTCTAATATAAAAAAAAACCTGCGATTCACTTATAGGGTCAAACAAGTTTTCTAAGCCCACCTAAAACTGATGAATAAGATACCTGGTTATTTTCTGGCGCAATTGATATTACTAAATTTAGGATAGAAAATGGGTGTTTTGTATGTGTTTTTCAGGACCTAAAGTAGACTCAGGATAATCTCGAAGAGCCTCAGCTAATCCGCTTACAATTCACAAACTAAACAGTTTGGCGTCGTTATTATTTTGGTAAATATTTGACGAAACCACCTTGTTTGAATGTTTTCACTATCATCTTAACAAAATATGTCTGAACAACTGACAACAATATTTTGATTTCACCTCTTCATAACGAATTGTTTCATCAAAGTGAAGCTGGTTATTGACATACATCAGATAACAATTGAGAGTATGAGCGAATTCTGAAACCAAAAGTTTCTGCTAGTTGACGACCCTCGATTTATTGTGTAAGTTATTCACTTTCAATTTTTCAGAACTTACTCTAGTTTAATCTTAAACTAATTACCTTTTTTTCGTATAAAAAAAGAAATTGGTGTTCAAATCTGTCTCCTATGACTTTGTAGCCAATTATAACTCTCATTATAGCCCCAACCCAGCCGAATATTAAAACAATTGTATAGCCTTTGCCAAATTGCCCGGGTTGACCAAGCTAGTCATACAATTTTCATTCATGGAAACGCCCTAATCATACACTTTTCAAGCAATTCCAGGGTTTTGTGTTAGTGGCGGGCTCAATAAACTGATGGGCGGCAATAATTGGAAAGTGCCCTTGCGTCTTATCTAACACAAATATCGAGATGATTCATAGAACGGATATATATATATTATTCGAAATCAAAAAATATTGGAACTCATTTCTGCCACATCATTTAATTAGGGAGTTAAAAATATAATCTCAGGTGGGAACTTCATACTTTTTACAATGTATGAAATCAAGCGCCTTTTTTGAAAAAAAAACGCTATTGACTTTGAAATCAATCTTTTTTGGTCTCATTCTACGCAATTTTCTTTTCAATTCATGATGTGGTTTTAATCCAATTTTCGAGTGATTGGGCGTAACCACAGGTTTTATGAAGTTGGCAAGAAACCGTATGGACTTTTGATTTCAGAGAATCCGCGATGAGTTCACAGATTTCATTGAATCCAAGACAAAATGCAATATTTTCTACAATTTGCGAATTCAAGGTCTCCCAAAACAGATCTCTTTCAAACTTACTTTTTAAGTGCTAGGCCAACTTCAACGAAATTTTTGTACAGTTTCATCATGAAAAGATCAAGATTTAACCACACTGAAACTATGAGTGATTCATTATGTTTGTGACTCATTCCCGCGAATTATCTGTTTTTTTTTCTGATTAAAAGATTGTTTTCAAGGGTTAAAAAAATTATGTATAGTTGAACAAATATTCAAAAAACAGACGTTCTTAGCTACGTTTTTTTTGACAGATCGCGGGTCCTTCTGCTTAAGCTTTTTTGAATTGAATGATCTAATGACTTGTTTTACGTACCAATGATCACTTTTTTTACTGTTCGTCTTTCAAGTTTACAAACTCTTCAGTTGGAATCATATTCCATCTTAACAGGTCCCACCAATGCGCAATAACCTCCAGTGGAATACTAATCAAACTTAACAGTTTAAAAAAGTTAAAGATGAACAAGACAAAAAGTGATTATTGGGTTGCAAAACAGGTCATTAAGCCATTCAACTCGACAAAGCCCAAGCAAATGGTCTTGTGATCGGTCGAAAAATTTTTTGCTAATGGCATCTTTTTCAGTAAGTGTTTGCTCATTTCGTGGTCAAGACTCAGTAGTTTTGTATCGTAACCCGGATCCTAAGGAGGGTCCTTCTTTAGAGGGGTCCTTTCTAAGGGGGTTTCTCACGTAAAGCAAATTCCTAGGAAAGTGGTATTTAATTTTTTGCTGGACCCCTATCCTAGTATTTTGTTAATGAACGTAAGTTCTCACCACTAAAGTAAAAGACCCCCTCCTTACGATCTTGCTAAGCTGAGCTTAACAACCGGGACCCTATACAATAGTTTCTTCTAATTCCCCTTAAAGCAGTCCCTTTCCCGTGATAAATGAATTGAATCGTCCTGATTCCTGAACTTTTTTCGACCCAGTTTCATGTAGATCTCATTTCCTAGCTTTAATTTTTGTCGAAAATTTTTGATGCTAATAAAAGTTTGTAATTAAAACTAAATCAAGGGTTTTCACATATTCTTTTGAGTTAGCACTTGGCTTGTGTCAACTAGTTCATTTAACTGAAGCTATTTTTGCTTAAGCAGTGATTGAGCCTGAAACGAATCTTTTATGACCGGTGAACTAGTCAAAAACAAAACAAGTGCACGCAGAAGTTAAACGGAAGGACACTAAAAATTATCTCAAAAAATTTGTTTCGAAATTTAGTGTTTGTTGTTTTGGTTTTCTTTAACCTGTTTATTTTCTAGATGGTCTCTCTTCCGACGCTTCCGATCAAATAAATGGGTTATTCATAGGGGGACGTTCACGGACTCGGTTACTAGAAGCCTCTGCTCGCAATCTCTATTTCTGAGTAAGGCGGCTATAAAAATCATCAACTTGGTATTCGGGCGAATTGTTATCAGCTTCATTGTATGAGTTGGGCACCTCAGTGCTCACATATATGTCTTCTAGGAATGCATTTTCTTCGGTGGCCTCATTGCCAAAGGCAACAGTCAGAACCCCGTCGAAAAGGAGAAAAACGTTTTAAATCGAATGGAGATAAAGCACGTTTATTTTTTTCCACTGTCCTGTTAGTGTGAACGTCCGAAACTATTTTATAGTTGTAGACTTTCATTTTTTTCCAGTGAACAATGTGTCCCTCAAGGTTCGATGCATCAATTCTTGCTGCACAGGCCGTTTTATTACTTCTGCACTAAGCTATTGAGGGCCTTCTTTACAGAAGCAAAATCATCATTCGTTTCTATAATGCAGGGGATAATTTCCTTTCACTTTAGCAATTCAATTTATACCGAAAAATGGTTATTCATTCAAGCAAAGATCGAAAGACTTATTAAAAAAGAGATGAAACATGTTTTCAGATAAATCAACGTTTAGGCAAAATTGTTTATTGTTGCCCAAATCAACTAAAAGCACGTGGTTTATTGGAACAAAGTTAGGCGGGAAGGAGGCAGAGAGCTTGGTAGTGGTGGTAGTGGTGGTAGTTTATTCTTTAAAAAGCAAAAGAATGGGTTGGAAGGGTGTTTTTAGTTGGGAAAGGTACTCGTCATTAAGGACCCCCGAACACTTTCGGTCTTAGGGCGATAGAATCTCTGATCCGCTTCTTGCCAGTCCCGCCAACCTTAAACTCCAACCTAAAATTTTGTTTGTAATGTTGGTCAAGAGATGGTCCTGATCATAATATGAGAAATCGAAGTAAGCTTTTATTTTCTATAAGTCTGGTTAAAAGTCGTCAATATATATGGCATAAAAAACTATCCGCGTCGAAGTTCAAAAGGTCCAAAGGTAGATTCGTTTTTTTTTTGATAGTTCAATTGAAACGTGAATCGTTTGGCGAGGTCTAACATAGTTACACCAACTATCACAGGATTGTCTACTAATATTATGATTACTGAAAAGCTGATTGTGGCTAATTGATTTTCATTGATTTGAAAGCTCTTCATCGTGCTCAGTGCTGCTTTTTAAAGAAGTTTTCTCTGACTACTTGCAATCAGCACCTTCTTTCTTCCCAGCTTAGTCTCCACTGTCTTACTGAAGGTTGAACCAACAATCAGCATGAACATTTTCTTTAGAATTTATTTACCGTAGTTTTTTGTGGATAGTATAGAGAACGACAAAGGGTTCCATCGAATGACTTTGACGGAACGGAAGATCTTTTGCTTGGTGGCTTTGTTTCATTCCCAGCACATGCTACAATTTTAGGGTAAGGCAAAACATAACCTTTTTAAGGATGCCAGGTCTGCAGAAGCGTTGGCACCTTTAACAGTGTGGCTATTCCCAACTTTTCCAACAAATCTTCTTGCTCGTTGCTCCTTGCACCGATGTCCACTACTTCACGAGAGGGGGAAAGTGGATAATCAGTGAAGCAGTCATGAATTTTTACGGGTATGGTCAATTTGACTTCAACTTCAAAATCCCCTCGGAGTTTTCGCTGGTTAGCAGTATAACTTCTAATCTTTTTTCAATTATTGAAAAATCATTTAATGGCAAAGGAAAATGTTTCATTATAGCCCCATACAATTTGCTTGCGTCAAACTTGATGAAAAAAGCTGGATAGCTCTGAGGGCGAAACATTTACGAATTCGTTTTTGTTTGCTTTGTACAACCTGCGCGCGTAAACCGACAAAATGTCTCCTCTTGTCATTCGCTGCTTAACGTGCAGATGTTCAAGATCCGCTAAAGGTTTCAGGTCGGGCTTTTAGAAAGGGGTCACGGAAAAAAGTTACTTGCCGTGAAGGAACAGGTGCAACCCAGAGCGTAAATTCGATAGTAAACTTCACGGAAAAAAATGAAACGGAAGCAAGTAATAGCACATCTGTAGTCATGTGCAAGTTGTGGTATTGAGCAACGATTCAGTTCGGTAAAAACATTTAAGACATGATTGTGCTCGCTTCTGGAAGCAATGAGATCTCCTCCTGTTAGACTATTTTTTCGCATTGCTGGCGAGGGAAAGGGAGTTTTCCGAAAGAGTAAGGATAATGCCGTTTTTGTTTCAACATATTGAATATTTTGGAGGAGCGGCCAATTTTTTCACAATAGTCCTCCAATAAAAAAATTTTTCGGGCAAATTTTTGCTAAATTTTGCCAACAGCGCTTCGTGAATCTATACAAATTAATTAATCTGAGATTTTCATAATTTTTTTTCTTTTTTAGTCCGTGTATGTTTTTACATATACTGCGATTGTCATTATTATATATTTTCTACTTATGCAGGTCTTACAGAAAAAGTGTTTCTCGAATCGCTTTTTGCCAGCGCTTTGATTGAAAACTATAAGGCAAAATCTGACAAACTATGAGCTATCACTGGGATTTAATTTGTTATCGCAGTACATTTGGAATATAACACTACCACTTGATCATTGTCGGAAAAATCCTTCTCGCCTATCCAACAAACCGTATCGTCTTCTCGTTCCTGGCCTGTTATACCGCTGAAAGTAAATAACTTTCCATGTTTATTTGTCTCGCTAACGATTAAGGGAGCTAATTAGCTCTTCCATCACATTCGGTCCTCTTTTGAGCTCCAAGTTAATAATGTCTTTTCTCTCAAACTGGATTGCTCCTAAGACGTAGCCGCATGTATTTCAAGTGTTTGCGTGCTAGATTTTTGCGGATCAATTTGCAGTCAGATTATTGGCAAGAGTAGTGACTTCAAATCAAAGTAGAATATTCTGAGTACGAATAAACGAGCTGTTAAGTTTTTGATCTTGTGGTCGTTTTTTTCTGGCTTCGACATTGTGATGACAACATC